CCCTCAGTCCCCCTCTCTCCCCTCATTCCCACCCTCAGTCCCCCTCTTTCCCCTCATTCCCGCCCTCAGTCCCCCTCTCTCCCCTCATTCCCACCCTCAGTCCCTTCCAGTCCCGACCCTGATCCGCCCTCCGCTGGACTCCCTGTCCCTTCAGTGGCTGGAGCTCGGGTCCCAGAAGCCGCCACTCCCAGGGCAGGAAGACTGGTCCCGGCCAAGGGGTCCTGGCGGTGCGCTCACCTCGCTGGTGCAAGTCTGTGGCCTCAGCCATCGGGTAGTTGTGTCTGCACACGGTGTCCAGCTCGGCCCGCTTCTGCTCCAGGATGTCCTTCTGGCTGTTGAAGTACTCAGCGATGGGCCGCCCCAGCGGGGTCACCGCCCCGTACTCCCCCACGTCGCTGTCGAAGAGCGCGAACTCCTCCCGGTTGTAGATGTGTCTCTCCAGGAGCCGCACGCGCTGCGTCCCGTTGGTGTAGTAGCAGAGGAACTTATACTGGTGCACGAAGTCCCCTGCGGGAGCCGCCAGTCAGACCTCAGCCCTGGGCCAGTGCTGCTGGCTTGCCTTGGACCTTCCCAGGAGACAGACCTGCAGCCCCGCCCCCGCCCGGGAACTGCCCCCGTGTAGGGAGGGGACTGAAGGAAAGGAGTCTGCAGGGGACCCCCTGGAGACTGGATCCTGTCTGAGCCTGACACCCGCTGGGAGGGCTGTCAGGGATCTCACATCCAGGCCCCACCTTAGAGCGGGTCAGGACGCCCTCCCCTGAGGTCCCATTTCCCAGGGAACCCGGAACCTCAGAAACCAGGGTCCACAGGCCAGGTTTGCTGCAAGCCCGCCACTCAGACTCAGGGATGGGGAGCCCTTTCCCCCAAATCTGACACCACAGACCTGCCGCACACGGTTCCCCAATCAGAGCCCCTTAGTCTTTAGTCCAGACAAGGTCTTGGGGACAAGTCCTGCTGTCTCCTCTTTGGAGAAACCATTTTCCTGTCACTGGCAGTGGCCAGTCTCCGCCCTCCCATTATGACATCCCCAGGCTGGAGCCCCTGAGATGGCCATGTCCTCACCTTGCCATCAGAAGGCGGACATGAGAACATAGCACCTCCCTTTTCCAAAGAGGAAATGCTGATCACAGACTATTCTCAGGTCACAGCCACCCCACGCCCCAGCCAAGGGTCCCTCAGAGCCCATCCCGGGCTGGCTGCGGAGCAGCTGCCCTGCACTCACATGGAGAGTCCCCGCCCTCAGCCACTGGGACACTCAGCGCCACCAGCCACACCATCACAGCTGCTGTCCAGGGGCCTCCGGGGGGCCACAGAGCCGGCTTCCCAGACATGATGGAGACAAAGGAAGAAGTAAGGGGAGTGAGCCCGGCTCCACCTGATGGGCTGATGCAGCCACTTCAGAGAATAGAAACCTGTGAGAGTGGCCACACAGGGTCGGCTAGGAAAGGAGCCAATCAGCACTGGAGCTGACCCACCTCATCTGTCTCCGGGCAGATGCTTTCTATGAAGGTCCCTTAGCCAGTGCCTGGAACCCAGCCTTCATCGAATTGCTCTGGATGAACATATGAAGACTTTCTCTCAGTTACAGAAGGTGAATGCCTTAGGGATTAAAGAACCAAGAGAGAAAAGTGATTCAAGAGTGGACATCTTTGTGACATTTAGTTAAAACCTCTTATCCTTACACGTGAGATTCTTAGGAGGGAAATAAGTGGGGATCATGTATCAGGGAGAGAAAATCATTGTCAGGAGATGCTCCCTTCTATTATCTTAAACAATCAGGAGCCTGAAGTCCTGGTGGGAAGAGCAGAGCCCTGAGAGGAATAGTTTTGAGCTGCAGCTCTAGTTCAAATGCCCTTGATGAGACAACAAGTTAATCAACCTCTTGTAGCCTCAGGTTTCTCTTGGAAAATGTGGATCATGTTCATGCATTTTACATCTACATCTTCATACAGACACACTCACAGCAATATGACTGCTCTAATACTGCAAAGTGTTTGGCTGTGTTGCATGTGTAGCAGTTGGGAATATCACACACAAAATGACACCACCCCTGCTGGCCAGTGAGTCTTCCTTATGAGAGAATCTACTGCATTTGTGCTCTTTGAATGCAAGTATTTGAAAGTTAGGTTTATTTTTATTTTTATTTTTTGTTCGTTTGTTTGTTTGTTTTATGCAGCCAATTGCAAGCTCTTAAAACTCTACATGTGAGGTTTTCTCATCCTGCCATTGGGGCCGGCCACAAGAGCTGGGGTTTAATGGCAGTTAGAGTACCTGAAGACTAAGGAAAGTAGAGAATATTCCTCACTTCTTTAATGGAATATTCTGAGGTGGGTTCTACAGTGAAGTTGATTTTTCTCTTCTAAACTCTTCTGCTGCTTCAATCCTCCCTGGACCATGAAACAGGTCCATCTGATGTCAGCAAAGGCACAGCCACAAACATTCAGATCAACAGGACACAGGCACCTGTAGCTCCAGGCCAGAGAGCAAAGATGTGGAGAAGCACCCTGGGGCCTGCACCGTGTGACTGAGGGAGCAGGTGTTCACACTCACAGCTCGTACTGAGCATCAAACCCCACAGGCAGAACTATTGGTGGGGTTTATAATAAATGAATTATTCCTCAGGATCCTCTCACCCAGGGTGAGGGCTGGTACTGAAAAGCTATAGAGCAACTAAGATGATGCCTGGCAAGCATTAATAAACAAGACAAGTCTCTCTCTCTTGTCTCCTTTTTAGGTTCTCCTTTTAAGTTTGAGGACAGGATCTGAATGCAGAACATAAGCAGTTTACCAGGTAAAAGAAGCAGGAAAGAGGCAACAACATGGGGTCGTGTTAGTGGCATGTGGAGGCCGTGAGCTGGTTCCAATTTCTCTGTTGAGTGCATCATTCCGGAGCACCTGCGTCAAGGGATCGGCCCTGGGCTCCAACCAGCAGTGGTGGGTCAGGGTCAGGGTCACTCCAGAGTCAGGCAGGAAGATAAGGGAGGAACATCCAACTCAGACCTGGAATGGGGCTGGGGGACAAGGAAGAATAGGCAGAGAGGGAACTTGAAGGCCTCAGTGCCCTAAGCCCCCACCTCAGGGTCCCTCAGAATTAACAGAGGCCTCTGGCCCATCACCTCCCTCCTTTCAGAGTGGGCAATTCCATCAGCTCTGCTCTGGGCTGTGCACTTGGTGCTCCTTTGGGCTGTGTGGTTGGTTCTGTTTTGGGCTGTGGACTTGGTTCTGTTCTAGGCCTTGCAGTGGAGGCTGCGTCAGGCCTGGGGATTCCCGGGTCTCACAGGCCTTTTCACACAGATTCTCTACTAGCAACAGGGTTGTCAGCTTAGACTCCTTTTTCTGATTGGCTAAAATCTCATCTGAAAGGTCTGGTTGGGCTTCTGCCAGCTGCTTCCCTGACCCAGTCAGCATTCTCTGTTTTCTAGATTTCTCTGCACTATCCCCATCCTGGAGACAGTACTCAGGGCAGTTGCTGCTGGCCTGGCCTGGCCAGGAGGAAGGCAACATCCCCATTCCAGCACCTCACCTGAACCACCTGGCTGGGCCCCGGTGGAGGCAGAGCACTTAGGGTGAGGGAGTGTGTGCCACGTGGGTAGATGTTGCAATGAAGGAGCAGCCATTAATATGACTCCGGGTTATGGGAAGGAGACTCCCCAAGGACGTCCTCTGTCCCCTCTGGTGGAAGTTTAAGCTTGGGGACTCCCTCCTGGTGGGAATTCAGGGAGAACCCTCCTTCTTGGAATCCTTGGAATCTGCACTGGGTCAGTGGGGTTCACAGGGAACATAGTAACCATCTGTCACCAGAAGCGCCATCCAGGACCCATTCTGCATTCACTGCAGGAACCAAGAAATTGTTGGTTTTAAAAGGTCTGTGGCCTCCTTAATGCAGCAGTCACATGGAAATCCTGTCCCCAGAACATTATTTCCTTTAAAAAAAAATTCATCCCTAAATTTTTCTAAATCTTTATGGAGCTACTCACATATGTCCCCATATGAATGCTTAGGTAACCAGTTATATGCATTTCCCATGACACATATAAAGTAGGTCCTTTCTCCACATAACCTATCTCTTTAAATCACATTTTAGAGAATCTGAAGAGTCAAAATAGTAGCAGAGTGACCATGGATAAACACTTCACCATGAAAGATTTAGTTTTGCCTCACCTGTAGGTGGAACACACACCTCACAGGGCAGGCATGAGGGCAGACGTACCTGTAAGAGTCCCCACAATCCGTGCTGAGCCACATGCACATTAGTTTGGATGTAATGTATGGGTTCATCTTTGTTGACATCATGAATAAAGACAGCAAAGTCTTCTTGTTATTTCTCATCTCTGTTCACATGTTGGAATTTCTATTATTTTTAATCCCTACCTCTTACCACATCATTACAGAGAGAAAAGGGGGAGGAGGTGGAGCACATTAGAAGCATTTGACCGTGAACCCCCTGCCTTTCCCTCTGAAGTGCCAGCACAGAACTGCCATTTAATCACAACTTCAGCTCTCAGAGCCTGGTCCTGCTCTCAGTGGGCTCACAAATGGGGAAACCGAGTGCAAAAAGTCACACACAAATCGATGAGAGAAGAACAAAGTGAGTGCAGCTTTGTGAGCTACATGGCCTAGGAGGACAGACTTCACCCATCTTCACTGGATTTAGAGGAAGAGGGACTGGCCGCTCCTCACTGTAACTGCTGCCACATGTCTAAGAGCCCTGTCCCAGCTGCAGGCTGAGTGCCCTGCACTCCCCACCCATGATCAGGGTCCCAGGCAACTCAGCTCCGACACCTCTATGCAGTCTTGTTTCCTGTAGTTCTGTCACCCTTCCCGAAACCCAGCAGATCCCAGACGGTGGGTACTGTACAATATTTTTATATCCCTAGAGAGCTAAGGTCCTGGGTTTCGGGGATGAAAATATAAGGATTCTCCCTTCTAGGAGTTCACATGTGGAAGGGGAGACACACATGGGGAAAATGAAAGGACAAAAGTTTGCAGCAGCCACTAAAAGGAAGGGCATACACACTGACTAATGACAGTGTTGAAGGTTCAAGACACAAAACTATAAACTGGTAATGGTGGCTGTTGGTTCAGTTACTTTCTTTTCTCTTAGAATGGGCTGGCAACATAGGGCCAGAGGATGATGGTTATTTGTGGGTTATTTCATGAATAACACTTTTTCAAGATAAGGAGGACAGGGAGTTGACAGTGTAGAGGTCATGATGGGACTGAGACAGACTTCCAGGTGTGATTCTCAGAGGAGGTGATGGCTCAGGATTAAGGGCCTTTCCAGGCAAGAACATCCTGCCCCACCCAACCGCGGCCGCTCCTCCCCTGTGCTCACTGCCCACCAGCCCAGATCAACCCTGGCGGGCAGTGCGGGATGCCTGCCCCCAGCAGCTCGGCTCCCGTGCACATGAGCGCTACCCACAGGCCCGCCATCTTTGTCGGGTTAATTTGCATATAACTCCAATTGGCTGGTGAGTGTGGCTTGTGGGCATGGCTTGAGCGTAGCGGAGGGACAGCTAATTTGCATGTTTCTCTTTGCAGCTGGTCACACCCCCTTCAGGGTGGGGGTCCCCACTGGGGTGCCTGGCCAGCCTGGATGAGGGGATGATGGCTGTTTGCAGCTGGTCACACCCCCTTCAGGGTGGGGGTCCCCACTGGGGTGCCTGGCCAGCCTGGATGAGGGGATGATGGCTGTTTGCAGCTGGTCACACCCCCTTCAGGGTGGGGGTCCCCACTGGGGTGCCTGGCCAGCCTGGATGAGGGGATGATGGCTGTTTGCAGCTGGTCACACCCCCTTCAGGGTGGGGGTCCCCACTGGGGTGCCTGGCCAGCCTGGATGAGGGGATGATGGCTGTTTGCAGCTGGTCACACCCCCTTCAGGGTGGGGGTCCCCACTGGGGTGCCTGGCCAGCCTGGATGAGGGGATGATGGCTGTTTGCAGCTGGTCACACCCCCTTCAGGGTGGGGGTCCCCACTGGGGTGCCTGGCCAGCCTGGATGAGGGGATGATGGCTGTTTGCAGCTGGTCACACACCCTTCAGGGTGGGGGTCCCCACTGGGGTGCCTGGCCAGCCTGGATGAGGGGATGATGGCTGTTTGCAGCTGGTCACACACCCTTCAGGGTGGGGGTCCCCACTGGGGTGCCTGGCCAGTCTGGGTGAGGGGCTGAGGGCCATTTTCAGGCTGGCGGGTGACTGAAGGTCCCAACCTCTCCTTTTTTTCTTTTTTTTTTTATTCTGGGATTTATTTACCTTCTATAATTGAAACTTCGTTGCTGTCACTGGAACTGAGAGCCGGCTCCAGCTCCGTGGCCACTGCCGGTTGAAAGCAGTTATCTGGGGTTTGTTTAGCTTCTATAATTGAAACTTTGTTGCTTTCGG